TGATATTTTGTATGCAGTTGTATAAGCATTGGCATATCTCATTTCCATGGAGATTATTGGGCCCTGTCCCCTCAGTCATGGCCTATTGATTTTGAAACTTTTGCTTAGTTTACATGTATTAGTCTGTTATTAGATTACAGATGAACCACTCATAATAAGTCAACGATATTTGGTATGCAGTTGTTCAAGTACATGTATTAGAACATCTCATTTCCATAGAGAATATTTGGTCCTTACCCCTCAGTCATGGTCTATTGACTTTGAAACTTTTGCTTAGTTTACATGTATTAGTTTGTTATTAGATCAGTTACAGATGAACAACTCATGATAAGTCAATGATATTTGGTATGCGAATGTATAGGCATTTGTAAGTCTCTTTTCCATGGAGATTATATAACCCCACCCCCTAATTATGGTTCATTGACTTTGAAATTTTTACATAGTTTACAAGTTAATGTTTGTGTTTAGGTGTGTTTAAAGGGAACGACTTATGATAAGTCAGTGGTATTTGATATGCAGTTGTATTAGCATTGGCACACATCACATTTCCATGGAGATTGTTTTATAGCCATGCACCTTAACTTGAGAACTGTTCAACTGATTTATTTTAATTTTTTGATTGAATTTTCTTTGTTTAGGATGTTTTTAACCAATCACATGGTTTTGCTGTATGCTTTTGAAAATATTACCCCAGAATGCATCAGATTTATAAACAGCGAATAGCCAATAAATAGTGGTAAATAAGTATTTTTCTGTATGTTTTTTCAGCTATACGTCATTAGGCAGTATGAACAATACACATCCAAACCCACATCTACAATACATAGACGATAGAGGGATTCTGTCTTATCATCCTGCACATACCTTAGTGAATGAGAATAGTGAAAGACATGGAAGAAATACTTGATATATTGTTAATCGATACTCACAATTTTAATAAATTATTTATAACAAGACATTTTTTTGCCTTGAAATTTTTTGCCTCAACTGTTTACCAGGAGCAAATGATTATGAGGTGCTTTTATCCTTAAGAACTGGAAACTTCTTATTTGTATTTTGTGTTTGCCTAAAACAATTTCATGCACATAACTCAGAAACCATAAGTTCATCAAAATTTTTAGGCAGATATAGATATAAGAAGATGTGGTATGAGTGCCAATGAGACAACTCTCCATCCAAGTCAAAATTTAAAAAAGTAAACCATTATAGGTCAAAGTACAGTCTTCAACAGGGAGCCTTGGCTCACACCGAACAGTAAGCTATAAAGGGCCCCAAAAATTACTAGTGTAAAACCATTCAAACGGGAAAACCAACGGTCTAATCTATATAAAAAACGAGAAACGAGAAACACTTATGAACCACATCAACAAATGACAACTACTGAACATCAGATTCCTGATTTAGGACAGGTGCAAACAAATGCAGCGGGTTTAAACGTTTTAATGGTACCAAACCTTCACCCTTTTTCTGAAACAATAGTGTAACATCACAACATAGAAAGACACACTATAAAATATCAACTGAAATAGCTTAACTCAATCAAAGGATATATTAACACCAATGAACATACAATGAACAAATAAATTTGACCTTTGATACAATGCAAATACAAAATAAATAAACTAAGGAAAGAATAATAAAAGTAACATGTTATATTGGTATGAAATGTTATACAATTTAAGAAAAACAATATGCTCGAACAAAAATATCAAGCCTATTAAAAGAATTACCATGTCACAAAAAGCAACAATATAAAGTTTGAATGACAAATTTTTAAAATTCAAACTCTAACATAATTTATAATCTATTGATAAGGTAGGATGTTTTGCTTTACTAAAAGTTTTATTAGAAAGAAGTCATTTTTTTGTGCATGAGCACAGACTTTACAACAGTGACCAATGTAAACCACTGAATTTACACTTCTGACTTGGGACAGGTACATACAGAATGCAACTAAGTGGGGTTTTCCTGTGTTATTCCACTATTTGTCATATTGGAAGCAACTCTGCATTACCTTGATTTGAAATTTGGCATAACATTGCTTTGGTATAAGTTTTGATGCATTTTAATGTCTTGCACTTGCCTGTTTTCTTTATATTTTTGACTGGGTGGTAAGAGCCTGCCTAAATTCCTTCTGCAAAAATATGTCAATTAGAATGTACCCTTTTCTATACTAGACTGAAATTGCCACCTCTTAATTCAAGTCTGTAGAAATATGCGACACAATAATGAAGCACAATATTCTGACAAAACAGGCCTTGCGGTCATAAAAATTTGAGCACGATTATAGTACTCAGACTTAAATCAACCAATCAAAATACTGGATTTCGTGTTTCGAGTACAAATTTTGTACTCCGAGAACTGAGTAAAGTTTTATGACCGAGACCCCTTGGCTCTCGGTCATAAAACTTAACTCAGTCCTCGGAGTACTAAATTTGTACTCGTAACATCAATTTCAGTATTTTGATTGGTTGATTTAAGAGTCTGAATACGATTATCGTGCTCGAAATCTTTATGACCGTAAGCCCAGTACTCACTCCTAGTTTGCTGCATGCTTTGCAGTGAGTCAACCACAGAGGCACTTCCTGAAGATTTTAACACATGTGTTTGTTTGTTGAATCTAAAGGTCAGTGGCGGATCCAGAGGGGGGCGTAGAGGGCGTACGCCCCCCCCCCCCCCTTTGCTTGCACTTTTTTTTTTTTTTTTTTTTGTAAAATGATTAATCAGACTAGACTTCGTAAACTTTGCCATTTCCCGTGTATTTAATTTTTATGCGACAATTCTTTACTTATAAAGATATTTTTCGCTCGTATTTAGTGTAATATATTATTGATTATGTCAAAGTCATGTGATTCTCTACGGTGGAGCTGACCAGTTCGTCGAAAAAAACGTCACTCAGTCATTTTGAAATTCAAATCACAGTAACACATTGCTTAGGCTGAGGATGACAAGCACGACGCCTTCAAAGCGACAAAGTATTGAGCAAGAACGTATTGAATTCTATTTCACAATTCCACCCAACAGAAAGTAATACTCTATTACACTCTCATGAAAAAAGTTCCACAGCAATATTATTTACCTACGAAAACATGTTTAACCCCACACGCCCCAGCCCATTAATAACATTGCTGAATAGTGATCCCCAGTCAGTAAGCTATAGATATAGATTTAAAGTCTAAGGTAAGGACCATTTGATCTGAGGGGGCAATCTCAGATTTTTAAGAGAAAAATTCTGACCCTGATTTTTGCCTTAAACAAAAATTCTGGCCGTATCTGGATTGAAAACAATAATCTTGTCCACTTTTTTGCTATTAGAAAAAATATTTTCAACAGAATTATTTAGCATTAAATGAACATGATGAATAAAAAATGGGCGTAATTTTTTTTTTGGGGGGGTTGCATGTGAATCCCATATCTGACCGGAATGTCTGTTTCGCCGAACTGATATACTGAATACTTTTTCAAGGCCCGACTGCAACCTGTCTGCTGGGTGTGGCCTATATGTCTCCATGTGTCGACCGTCATTCACAACTTCATTGTCATTTCCGACTAATTCGTAGCCTTTGGTTGATTTGGAACCCCTCACTTCCCTTGTTGGGTAAAACATTTCAACCAAACATTTGGATGAAAATTGCTTGTTTGTCTTTCTTTGTGTCGGTCGTATTGTAAATTTCATTGAATAGCTGTATATCTTGTTTACAACAAGAAATCTGTGAGGTTATGCTAACTAACCATACAACAAACGATTATTTTCCATGTCCATTTTTTACTGACAAATCCCACATCAAATATATTAATTAGTACATAGCTTTGGATCCATCCAATCATAATAGACAATTGGTGGAGAGAATACGGCACCAAAAATGTCCAACCCCTACACTTTAACTATAAAATGCATTTTACACTTATTTTATGTTTTTTAGCCAAAAAAAGGTCCAAAATATTTTTTCGCCTCGCTTCGCTCGGCGAAGTTTATTACTACGCCCCCCCTTTCCAAAATCCTGGATCCACCCCTGAAGGTGGTAGGTATTTGAAAGCTTATAATGCAAACAATGTTGACATTACACTCTTGATACCAATTCTCAAGACTAACCTCAGTTTTGATTCATAACTAATTGAACCTAAAGGATGGAGTATTTGAAAGCCCATTGCTTAAGAAGGGGCCTCAGTGGCCGAGTGGTCTAAGTAGTTCATCTACTGTATCACTAGCCTGTCAACACTGAGGTTGTGAGGTTGAACCCCCTCAGAGTCTGGTGCGTTCAACTTCAATTTTAATTGGCTAGAATGTCAGTTTTCCGGTGATTTTCTCCATGCGCTCTAGCTTCCTCCTCAAAATTAAACTGACTGCCAAGAAATAGCATATAGTGCAGAAAGTGGCATTAAACACCAACAATCAATCAATCTTAATAAGCAATGAGATTAGTATTTTTGGACTGTCCCATGGATTTCTGTTTCTTACTTTCCTACCAATTTTATTTGTTTGGTATCATATATTGTGGATTCATTTATTTTCGTGGGTACCAATTTTTCCTGGATAATTGAGTTGGTGGTTTTACCAAAATTTGCATATTTTACCTCTAGAAAATGTGTCCTTAGATGTACAGTTTAATTTGTGGTTCATTTATATCTATGAATACTGCGAAAATTGGTATCCCCTGAATAATACTAGACATTCAAATAGAAAATAGTGTGTTTGGTGTAAATTTTTGGAGTTTTCCAATGTTACTCTAAAAAAGAAGCATTCTTAATGTTATCATATCATATCATATCATGTATCATATACTTATAGTGTTTTTAGTTTTCTAAACATATACTGAGGAAGGTTTGGGTGATGAAATTTTATAAAGTGCAATTTTCCAATTTTCATCAATTTTAGTTGTAAAAACGTGAGGTTTATTAAACAAAGGGGCATAACTCAGACTTAATTGGTTTTGTTTTATATACTGTGGTTGTTGTGCTATTTGCAACTGATAAATATCAGAAAAAAAATAAACAAAAAATGCAGAATGGATGCTTTTATGATTAAGAAAATGACTATTCACCATACAATAGTTCACCTGCACCAAAATATGCATTACCCCAAGTCTTGTAGACATATTACAGTCAACTCAAAAAAAAAGAAGAAAAATACTGCAACTTTTTACAATTTGTTTGGTTTGCAAAATACTTTTGATATCAAAACATATTGTTGGTATGGTCTTTAAATGAGCACTTAAATTTACAACAGTAGCACCAGCTATAAATATGTTTATAAAACTGACATCAAATGTAACTAAAGTTTCAATTCAAAAGAACTTTGACCTTGACATATTTTGTACCTTTTTAAATCTCATCCTCCTTCGACAAAAATATGAATGCTGGCAAAACTTAAGTCATATATTTTGTTGATTTAGAAAAATAAATTAATAAAATATTACATTAAAGAAAAATAGCAAGCTAGGTGAAATGAAAAATGAATATAAAAGTGTAGCTTTATCAGTCATACATTTTTATAATGTATTCCATTAGTTGAGAGGACTGATCTGATATATTAAAGCTACATGTCCTTTTAACCAATAAGAATATGCAAATCATTTTTATAAAAATCTGACGTAATCTGTTTAAGCCATACAATATTTTAAAGCCTTAAAAATGTAAAGAAAATACCCATGCTAGGACAAACATTCCTTTCCATAAATAAACATGAAATATATTTTTTTCATTTATCAGGTAATTAAATCTACTGTATGATAATTTGTTAAGATCCAGTTACAGCATTAAAAAATCCTTCACAGCATCTACAACACTGTTCATAAACTTTATCGAAATCCTTCATATCATTGCCCTGAAAATATAAAAATACAAATAAAAATCCCTGTTCATGAACTAACTTGACCGTGTGTTGTCTTTGTTTGAATGTCTGTTTTTTCCCGAGAAGTTGTGTGTTGGTGGTTGTTGTGGTCTGTTGTACTGTGCTTATTTTTGGTGATTCTTGTTACCCCTATTTATATATTGTTACACATACATTTTTAGAAAAAACAAAATTGATACACAATGAAAAGCATGTACACAATGAAAAGCATGTACACAATGAAAAGCATGTACACAATGAAAAGCATGTACACAATGAAAAGCATGTACACAAACACATTACTTGTATTAATTGTATTATTTCCAATTATGATCATATTCTGTAAATCTTGTTTTTATAATGCAATTCTCTCTTTTCATTTGTTATTTTTCACATTGCTTAGAAGTGTACACAGAAATGAACTTTATAGTCCTAGCTATGATTCCACAATTATTTGCATGGAATTTTTGCTTTATTATTAATCTCTGCTTCTAGCAAATGTATTCCTATTCATGGATAACCCTGGGTGTTTTTAAAATATACCTCTAAAAGATGAGTAACCAATCTGAAAACATAAAGAATCCAATTCTGGATTCATGCCATCTCTTACTTATTGATAGCTGCTACAGTTACTCTTACTTATTGATAGCTGCTATAGTTACTCTTACTTATTGATAGCTGCTAAGTTACTCTTACTTATTGATAGCTGCTATAGTTGCTCTTACTTATTGATAGCTGCTATAGTTAATTTTAAATTTTATTTTTTTTGCTATATGTTAAGTGACTGTCTCAAAGACATTTATCAATATCTGTACATTATATAACTGCTATAAACACTGAACCTACAATGGGTTAAACTACTGTCAAAACTGCTTCTTATTCTCTAAATACTTACAAAATATGGATCTACAATAATAAGCTCTTTCTGGGGATCATATTCACCAAGCAGTACTGTTTTAGCATGACAGTTCTTAGGCTTTATACCTTCTAAATCACTAAAAAACAAATTTTACTGGTTAATAAATACAGCTGTATTTGTAAGGAGAAAGATGGTATATTTTAACGGTATATTCATCACCTAAAAGATCCTAGAACACACACATAAATTATTATATTTTTACCTGAAGTTAAAATGACACTTGATTTCTAGGCAAATTTTTTTTTTACATTCAGGAATTGTCATGCATGGAGTAAAAAACTCAAATTAATTATTTTACATATGCAATAATATAATACTACTTGTTTCAAAGTTCAAACAGTACAAAGTTTGAAGTTAAGTCAATTTATATCTTAACGTAAAAATGTAATAGAAAAAGAAATGAAAAATTGTAATATTTAAAAAAAAAAAATTGTAAGGGGTTCCATGGAATCCTGTGCCTCGCTGCATTTGCTGCTGTCAGTAAAAAGTGTAATGTTGACTTTAAAAGTGAGTCCATTTATCAGTAAAATACAGAATTTAAAAAAGATTCAAATTTTTCTTTAGATGCTATTTCTTGGTATTGAAGATTAGCTTCTGTCCAAGTTTCATAACAATCCATGAAGGTTTACATATTTATCATGTCCAAAAAATTGAATCCCATACTGTCTGTAAATGTTAACTGTAAAAAACAAAATCCATCTGTCAGAAAAATACTAAAAATGAAAAAAATATATTTTTAAAGGCTTGCTTCAGACAATATCTCTTAATCATTAAAAAGCTTCTGTCCAAATTTCATAAAACTCTATGAAGTTTATGTGTAGCAAACTTTAACCCCAGACTGTATCTACTTGTTAACTGTAAAAAAAAGTAAGTCCATTTATCAGTAAAATATGTAAGATGAAAATTAACATTTTCCAAATTTAGCTCTGGATACTGTCTTTTGGTTATAAACAAGCTTCTGTCCAAATTTCATAAAATTCCATGAAGGATTGACAAAGTTATGGATGACTGAAAAACTTTAACCTCAGACTAAATCTGAAAGTTAACTGTAAAAAAAACTAAGTCCATTTATTAGTACAATACAGAAAAATGAAAATAAATTATTAAAAATGTTGCCCTGGATACTATATTTTGGTCATAAACAAGCGTCTGTCCAAATTTCATAAAATTCCATGAAGGTTTGACAAAGTTATTGATGGCCAAATATACTTTAACCACAGACTGAACCTAAATGTTGCCAACATCGTTGACAGAATCTAGGATCGCTGTCTCGCTTTCGCGAAATAAATTTCACAGGCTCTACAAAAATTCACTGATTTTTATATCAAATAAATGGCAAACATTGAAAAAAGGTATATATACTTTTAATCACAAGGATTAGACCAGAGACAAAAATACAATATTATACTTCTGATTAGACCAATGGCATTCTATACTTTAATATTATCCAGAGACGTGTATATATATGTCTCTGTGTTATCTAATTGGACTTGATGAACACCCCCCCCCCCCTTTTATTTGATTATCTATCAGACATTATAAATTTAAAGAATGATGAATAAAATTATACAGGTTTTTAAATATGGGATTTGTTTTCAGATAAGACGCCAAAGATTTAAAACAGAGCAAGTATTTACTATTTAAATTATTACTGTAAAAAAAAAAATACTTTAATCAAATTTTAATTTGTAGAGTTATCTCCCATTTTTTATACCCATTTTTATTTTTATATTTTTCACTCATTTTCACAATTTTTTCTTCTAAATAAATGTCTATGCACAATACTTAACACAAATGAATCATAAATTTGACTTTAAAAGACAAATTATTCATTTTCTTTACTTATCAATTGCAAACATTTTGAATTTTTAGGACCTTGAACTTCATAAGTAAATGTAAAACATATAAACTTTTTAATTTCATTTATTAATTTGCCATGGTGTTGTCTAGTCCTTTCGACTATGGACTAATTGTTTGTCTTTTTAAACTATTTGGAAGAACGACCATGTGGACATGGTTCAATTAACAAAAATTAACATTCCCAAACCCGCCCACTGCGACATGCAACTAAATATAATCAGGGAACTTTTGTGATCACTTGTTATATTTATGATGATTCTTGTTCCATATGTGCATTCAAGTATTTGAAACATACTATGTTAAAAAAATTATTAAAACACTTTCTATCTTTTCAATATTCCATGTTTAAATATCTGAAGTGAACAGATTATTAGTTCAAATTTGAATTTAGAAGGCAGAGCCTGACAACAGCTGATTCTGTTTGTAAACAAATGCACATGCTAAATAATGTTCATGCATAATAAAGACAGCACCTACCTAATTTACAGAGATATCCAATGTATAAATCCTTTTGAAATATTACACAAATTTTCCTTCCACAAAACATTTTTTGTTAATTAATCCAATAATCTTAATTGTATATAAACATGGTATGCAAAGTAATATGAAAGGTAAAAAAAGGTTTAATAATTTCAGTCACTAAGATGTTATAAAAAAAGAGCAAATAGATATAAGAAGATGTGGTATGAGTGCCAATGAGACAACTCTCCATCCAAGTCAAAATTTATAAAAGTAAACCATTATAGGTCACAGTACGGTCTTCAACATGGAGCCTTGGCTCACACCGAACAGTAAGCTATAAAGGGCCCCAAAAAATTACTAGTGTAAAACCATTCAAACGGGAAAACCAACGGTCTAATCTATATAAAAAACGAGAAACGAGAAGTATGAATTAGTACCATCTATGTCGGTTTAGATTTAGGATTTGGGTATAATTCCCTCACAAGATTTAATACACGATCAGGGATAACCTCTCTTCTGACGATAACAATAGTTTCATCAATCCTATCTTTATTCAGAAGCCTACTTTTCTTCCGTAGATATTGAGGATTGCTCCATGCTCCTCTATCCTGCAGCATTCTCCAGAACAATTTATATTTATATTTTAAATTTCTTATTCCACTACAATGTATTCCTTGCATGTGGTCTCTGTCCAACACCTAACTTATTTTGTCTATTTTGTCTGTTTTGTGTAACACACGGACTACAAAAACATTCGTCTTCATCATTGAGATCATTTTCAGCACTTTGTTGATCTGACCCACTTTGACCAGGGTGCTCAATTTGGATCTCCTGTAGTTGATGATCGCAATACTGGTATACCAGTATTGTCCACAATACTGGTATAAAAATTTTGTACCAGTTTTGTAACTTTTTAAAAAAAAAACAGCAATACTGGTACATTACTGATATACCAGTATTGTAGTTGTATTGTTCACTATACTTTAAGGTGTATAATGAAAAACGAATTTTAAGCAAAATTAGATATTGAAGATCAAAGGCAGATTAAATGAACTCAAAAAGATAATAGAGGATAATTGTGAAATCAATTAACAACCAGTTAAAAATAATTACTATACTTGTACAAATAAACAAAAGATTATTGTAATTAAATCATCTTATTCAAACAATTGTTAAATTATATAAATAATTGCTAATAATTTTATCATATTTCTATATTTTATTTAATTCAATTTAGATAAAATAAAATAAAAGCTGTATTATCTGAGTTATTATTTAATAAATCCAAGCAAATTATTACACTATAACACTGTAAATTCAGCATTTACATGTATGCCATCGTATATTTTTTACAGATATTTTAAAACATGTATACTAAGATTCTAAGCATTTGTTTGTCTTTATTTTCTTATCAGTCTTTCACAATAAGCATGATAAACGATGTCAATATCCATTAAACATAAAAAGTTGTTTAATAGGGGAACCTGATTATAATCAAATTAACTGCTTTTACTAGTTTGTCTACATGAATGTTAAGGGTAGTTAAAATAGTTGATTCAGAACCATGGGCAATACAATTTGTAGCAGATATATCAACTGGTACAAATACTCAAATACTAATACTAGACAAACACTCCTACAGTAAGAGAGCCGTACAGGTGCTATCTAAACAAGCTTGTAATCTAGTAAGCGTAAGAGAAAGTCCACAGACTGAATACATAAATATCAATATAGGAAGTGGGGATTGCAGAAATGCCATCTGAAGAAGAAATAAACAATACCAATGCTGATGATACAGAAGCTATAACAGCATTAATGTCAATATAAAATTCACTAAAATGTACTATTGAGACTTTGAAAGAGAGAGCTGGAAGAAAACATAGAAGAAGGTAAAGAGTTTGTTAAAATGCTGAGACAGTACGGTTCCCTTAAGAAAAAAAACATCAGAAGATTTAAAACTTTCTTTGATTACAATCACAGTATACCATCAATGGCATCATCAGTTAAACATACAATCATTCCATATAAAATTGTCATGTCATATGTTAATATCATTATCATGATTATGCATATATATGTGACACCTTTAATAAAAGATTAATTACCTATATGTATTGTTTATTTTAAAAAAACACAATACTGGTACAATACTGGAATACAATACTGGTACACAATTTTTATACCAGTATTGTGCACAATACTAGTATACCAGTATTGCGATCACCAACTACAGGAGATCCCTCAATTTCATCAGTTGAATTTAGATTGTTTTCTGCATTATCTTCTAAATAAAGGTTAAAAGAAGTACTTGGTGATATTATTAAATAAGAGAAGTCCCAATCATTGAGGCTAAAAAATGCCTGAATTGCAAGTTTCTGTTCCTCTGTTACAGACAAAGAAAGAACATTTTCAACATTTTGGTGTTTAGCTCACCTGACCCAAAGGGTCAAGTGAGATTTCCTCATCACTTGGCATCCGTCGTAGTCGTCTGTCGTCGTCCGTTAACTTTAAAAATAATCTTCTCCTCTGAAACTTGGCGTAAATCATCCTTAGGGTATCTAGTTTAAAAAATGTATCCAATGACCCCACCCATCAAACAAGAGGGTCGCCATGGCTAAAAATAGAACATGGGGGGTAAAATGCAGTTTTTGGCTTATATCTCTGAAACTAAAGCATTTAGAGCAAATCTGAGTGGGCTAAAATGGTCATAAGGTCAAGATCTATCTGCCCTGAAATTTTCAGATGCATCAGTCA